TACCCTGTTTAATTTCCTTTTTTTACTGACTAGAGTTGCTGTCATACAAGAATCTATTTACACTGATTAGTGATATTGAACAGTGAAGAAGACCAGAAAATTATCTGATATTTGGCATCACCACTTTGAACAATATCACCTTAGCTGGCATAAACTACACAATCAGGTAAGGCTGATTATCTCTTCATTTTCAGCTTAAACATTAACTGTAAAAGTTCTTGATAGGATTAAAATTTGACCTTTTTTTGAAAACTGACCAAGAAAACATACTGAGTATATCGATTATGTAGGCAATCGTTAGTAACTGTTAAAGTGGCAGAACACTGCCCTTTTGTCCAATCAGTAGAGATATAATGTGTGCAGGGATGATCTGAGGCAGACTTTCTACTGAAGGGAGTGTGGGCTTGGAGCCATTTTCTGGAAAGCAATTCTGCATCTGTAGCATGTACTTTTTATTTGATTTTCTAAGTACAGTGTTATTTTCTAAGGTTGAGAAACCAATTATCTTGTGGTTCTTATATCAAGACTTTCTTTTAATATAATCATAAAGGAAGCTGCGTTTATTACATAAGATCAAAATGTAACATTCACTATGTAAAATCAAATTTAACATATGATAACTGTTTCCTAAGAAATACACTGGCTCCCTTCACTTTCTCCTTGATGAATTTTTAAATCAGTGAGGTTACAGATCAAGCCCTGCATATTTATGATTGGGTCCAGAGTAGCTGCACCAGGATTCTAGCTCATCAGGGTGCACTGGATTCTGAGGCAAGCTCACTGCGAAACGTGGACTACTGTCTAAGTGAAAACTCAGAGACATAAACTAAAATAACAGAGACACTGATTAGGAGTCAAGGGCCTCAGTATTTGAAGTAAGACACTGTGCAGCCTTCAAGATTTCAGATCTTTGGACATGGATTATTCGGGTTAAAAACTATTTCAAAATTGTAATATACCATATATATTTTTTTGGAAAATCCCTATTTCCATAATCCAAGATGCAGAAAATAAATAAAACTTTGATTCTAAAGAAGGGTGGAGATTATAACAGGTGTGAGCATATGTGAATCTCAGGAGGTGGTATATGGTAACATGTTTATCAAAACAGAGAAGATGATTTCAACAAAACAGACGAAAGAGGTGGAGATGCTGTGCCCACAGGCTATGGTGAAGGGATTCAGAGAAATGCAGAACATTCTGACAAGAGCTTATGAGTATTATTTATACCGAATCTCCTTATTTCTCTTTGTTATTCTCAGTTGAAAGAAATAAGGAGGAAAATCAGAATCAAAAGGAGTTTATATGTACCTCTTCACTTCATTTGTATTCTTTGAAGGAATAAAGATTTAAAAATATAATTTAAATAGTAAAAACCACATCTACAATTAGGTTGAGATTAAAAGATCTTATCTGCTAAAAAAAAAATCTACTGAAAAATCTAGATGTGAAGTTGCACATGAGGACACATGAGGGCGCCCTAACCAACAAGTACAGTGACTAGCTTTGATAGGCATTTAAAGTTACCTAAAATATGATGGCTTAGCACTAAATATACTAAAACAGAAATAACTGATGCACTTTGGCAATGACCCTGGGTCTATCTTTGGTTGCTGTCTTTTCTTTATGTTCAATTCAGGACCCTGCCTGAGTTTTCATTCATATGGAATTGAGTATTTTGAAATATGCAAAGAGACCCTTTTTAATATAGGTTTTTTAATATAGATTATTGGGAAGTGCTCCCACCTCGTCATGAATTGACATCATCCTAAAACTACTTATGTTGAATTAATGTGCTTATTAAAAAGTAGAGTTCTCTTTCTATTATTGTAGCTACAGAATATTTTTATAATATTTTCCCTGGGTTTATTTTTAGGTCTATGCAAATAGGGGTTTTTTTTTTTAGGAAAAAAATCATCATCATTTACACATTGTTATACAAGCTAAGAACTATAAATTCCTCTAGGACAAAATGATAAATTTCAAGTACTTAACTATTTGCACCAAATTTTATTTTTTAGACAAATGCATTATCAGTTTCAATAATCAACCATTTGCTTTTACTTCAAACAATCGTGACCAGCAAAGGTAAGAAGACATCTATAACTTTCCCTTTTCACCCAACACATTTTTTCAATGAATTCTTCCCTCATCTGATGCTTCTTGTCTATTTTTTTCACTTTCAGTGCCAATCATGATTTTAGTAAATGTTTGCAATTTTGTTCTAGCTCCTGTGACATAATTCAAGAAGATCTGACATAAATGAGTTACAATTCAACATGTATTCAACCATCTACGATCTCCTCTGTGGCTTTACCAATCATTTACACCTTCCTTTGTATTGTTGGTCTCTTTGGAAACTCACTCTCTCAATGGGTGTTTTTAACAAAAATAGGTAAGAAAACCTCAACACATATCTACCTGGCACATCTTGTGACTGCAAATTTACTTGTGTGCGGTGCTATGCCATTCATGGGCATCTATTTCCTGAAAGGTTTCCAATGGGAATATCAATCTGCACAATGCAGAGTGGTCAATTTTCTGGGAACTTTGTCTATGCATGTAAGTATGTTTGTCAGCCTCTTAATTTTAAGTTGGATTGCCATAAGTCGCTATGCTACCTTAATGAAAAAGGATTCCATGCAGGAGACCACTTCGTGCTATGAGAAAATATTTTATGGCCATTTACTGAAAAAATTTCGTCAGCCCACCTTTGCTAGAAAACTATGTGTTTACATATGGGGACTTGTACTGGGCATAATTATTCCAGTTACTATATACTACTCAGTCGTAGAGGCAACGGAAGGAGAAGAAAAACTGTGCTATAACCAGCGGATGGAAGTAGGAGCCATGACCTCTCAGACCGCAGGCCTTATTGGGAGCACATTTATTGCATTTTCATTTTTAGTAGTGGTAACATCATACTACTCTTTTGTCAGCCATCTGAGAAAAATTAGGACTTGTACATCCATTACGGAGAAAGATGTGACTTACAGTTCTGTGAAAAGACATCTTTTGGTCATCCAGATTCTACTAATAGTTTGCTTCCTTCCATATACCATTTTTAAACCCATTTTTTATGTGATACACAAAAGGGAGGACTGTCAGCAACTGAATTACTTAATAGAAACAAAAAACGTTCTTACTTGTCTTGCTTCAGCCAGAAGTAGCACAGATCCCATTATATTTCTTTTACTAGATAAAACATTCAAGAAGACACTATATGATCTCTTTACAAAATCTAACTCACCACATATACAATCATATAGCTAACTTACAAATGGGAAACACCACACATTACAAAGGTGTTCATGTGACTCTATTAGGGAGACTGTAACTGTAGGATTAACAAGCAGGTTGTTGCTTGGCTGACAACAGACACCAAGAAATATTTTTGGTTTTTAAAAACAAATCAAATAAATATATTCATAAAGCCCATTTTACAGTTTTTCTTATACTTGGAAGTAGAGATGGCAGAGACTTTAAGATCAAGCTTATGGAAAGGAGGCAACTGCATGTGAAACCAACAGATCATTTTCTCAACTGTGGATGCTTCTGACAGCGCACAGTATTTCACAACTGCAGGATAAAGAAGCAAATGGTTTATGACTTATCTGCTTCCTAATAGTTAAAATACATGAGTCTGTTGATGGCTAGTGTTTGCTTTCTTGTGAACTTAACAAAACTTTGTAAACAATTTGTCCCGACTTAAGTCCTATTCTAAATGCACAAATAGTAAATTCAATGTAAAAATCCAAAGTTTTATAAACCTTATTTATTTGATATTATCTGGTTCATGCTACTGGGAGAAGTAATAGTCGTTGACTCTAATATCTATTAAGCAGATATAACATACATATTTTTAAAATATTTAAATTAGCCATTGTCAAAATAAAAAGTTGTCATTGTATGCCCATCTTTATCATATTTTGTGTACTTTCCTCTGTATTCAATATTAATAATGCTGTTGTTAATGGCTAATGGTACTTGGCATGTAGATATGTTAATTTTTGTGCCACGAATGAACAAATGATAAAGCAATGTAACAGTACTGTAGTTAAGATACTGGTATTTGAACTCAGACTCCTGGGGATCAGTCCTGGCTCCACCTCTTACGTGTAGGCAAATCATTTCTCCTTTTAAAGTGTTGACTTCTTCATTTGTAGAACAGAAAATTCTGCTTCACTCATAGGTACCATTCTTAAATCAGATGATGCTACTACTCCGAGTAGCTATCACTTAGTGAATGCATGTGCCAGGCACTCCGCTTGTATGCTCTATTACTATAACCCTCACGACCCTAAAGGATGCCAATTTTAGTTAGGAGTGTTGCCCAAATGTTCCCCAATTCTTAAGTAGATATTTAAAGAATAAGACTTTTCTTAATGTTTCTTTCTTCAATGTTATCTTGTCAGTAAGACAACTGAAGGTGAATATATTCTGTGTTATACATATTATAATAAAAAATGTAAACAACGAATGTGTGCTCTATCTCCCCAGAGATTATAGGCAACTCTGAACTATACTAATTCTATATTTCTATTCCTGTGTGATACCTGCAATCTTACCTCAGACTGGAAATAAACAAGAACAGCTGAATAAAATCAACCATTAAGTG